AAAAAACAAAACATTTTTTTAATCCATATAATCAAAATGCTTGCTCCCAGGCAGGCACCTGTCTACAGAAAGTTCCTAAACTGTGATTTTTGTAACTAGTGAACTCTGTAACGCATAAACCCTCATTTTTATTTGTTTTTCTAAAATGCCTTAGATTTCTGTTTTCTGAATCCCTTGAGGAGGAGCTGATTGATGTCAAAGCCTTCCAGCAGAGCCCCAGCCAGCCACTGCCCAGATCTCACGTAGCCACTCCACTGCAGCACCAGCACCAGCACCAGCACGAGCCATTCGCTTTCCCTTCTGATGTGCGCTTGGATACCTGTGTGTGCTTCTTCTACCCGCAAAATCCCATAGGCATCTCTATTTCAAAAACTGCTTTGAAAGAACGTCTGTTTGAAGGAAAGGAGGAAAAATTCCTCTTTTCTATAACCTGAGAGCCGTTACGGTCCCAAAGGTTCCCTTCTGCTCCGAGACCCTTTTGTGCATGCACAGTGCAGATTACTTCAGGAAACTTCTCCTTTGTGAAGGATGGTCCCACAGAGATTATTAAATTGGCATTTTACTCCTTGGCATGCATTTACATGGGGGAAATGGGATGGCAGTTGGGTATTTCAATCTTGTATTCAATTATAAGCATTTCATTGTTGAATGTGCTGTTTTATTATGTGATAATTAAATATGAATGATCACACAGTCATCCTGCCAAAGAGAGGCTGTAGCTTAACGAAACCAGTTCCTCTCATCCTCCTGAATGACTTCAAAGTCAAAAGGAGTGATCTGTTTTCTATTTCTTATTTTTTCTGTCCTATTGTTTCGGTATCGTCAGCTTCAGAATAGCAAACTAGGCAAGTAATTATGGACATAAATCAGAGCAGGGATCAATGTGAGGTCAGGATTGCTTTGCTTTTAGCCCGGCTTTACTGAGCTGTCTTTCTCTGAATAATGGAGAAGTATATTGCTGTTAATTTTGTGGAGATTCAGCAGAACAACAGTTGAAATGGAGTGAGGAAGAAAGGCAGACACTGCAGAAGACAAAACAGGCCTGTCTTTGTCGTGTCTCCTGACAGCATTGTGAACCTTTCATGGGCAAAAAATGAGCAACAACATCAGGATTAAGCACAAATATGGGAGTATATTCTGGTCCTGCAGTGGGCCCTTTTTGGAGGACCATTTATACTCATCTCCTGCCTCTGCTGAAGAGACTCATTTCTTTTTCTGACGTACAGAATGGGGGAGCTGGGGGAAGTTTTTGTCAAGATGCTTCCTAAATTGGAATTTCAGCTTACGTACGTGTACATCTTTGCTAAGGTGTTTTCTTTTTCACTGAAAGCTAATTATCTTAAAACCCAAACTTGTCAGTCACATCCCAGCTTTTTGCCCAAGAGGGTTGACTGCTTCACTGGACGTGGTAAGACCCTTGTCCAGCAGTGCACAGCTGCCCCTTCCCAGGATGGACAGCAGGGTTGCCCGGCAGAGCAACATAGGAGAACCTGTGAGCCTTATTAGAACTGAAGACTTATGTTTTACATGAGATTTCCCATGAAACCCACTGTGCCATTTCTCAGTCCCATACTTTTTGAAAGTTTCAGCCATTTCTAAGAAGAAAGCTGTAGAAAAAAAGTTGTATTTTATTAGTGATAAAACGTGTATGACCGTTCTGTTGACAAAGTTTTAGCCCCAGCATGCTTTTGAGCAGGGGTTTGAGCAGCCGCGTCATGCTGGTGCCTGGAACGTGATCCCCTGTGTTCACGTGAAAGCTCTACGACACTCAGCGAAATTACAGCTTCTGATTTGCATGTATCTGGAGGGACTTGATAGCTAAAATTCTCAGAAATTCTTGCTAGATGGAGAATGCTAAAGCCTATGTGTGAACAGGCCGTTCACGTTCCATCCCAAGGGAGTGACTGAGCATCTCCCAACGTGGGACTGTAGAGGGCAAAACATGTTTTCGCGACTCTTGCTCCTGCCAGTGCATGAGGGCAGCTGCAGAGTCAGACCCTGGGACTAAAAGCGGTGCGTTTCCAGGTCAGCCTGGGACCTGGCTGTGGGAATAAGGAGCCGACAATTTTAGAGCTTACAAAGTCAACCAGGCTGAGGGGGTGTGAATTTTGGTGCAGGGCACCAGTTTGTTGTTTGAGAAAATGCAGTGTTATTTGATGTGTAAAAGAGGGAGGGCAGACTTCCCTGTTCTTGCACTTCTCCTCAGCAAGTGTCCAGACCTCATGGACAGCATGGAGCCATGGCTCACAAGCAGAGGAGAAGAAACAGGGGAAGGCAGGTGCTGTAGAAGTAAGGAAGGAGATAAGAGGGCAGGAGTACCTAAGCAAAAAGGAGAAGTAGAGGAGTTGGGAGATTAAACAGAAACGGAGACAGGCAGGGACACAGGGAGGCAGGGCATTAAACAGGCAGCAGGGTTCAAGAGCGAGAAGGGTGGCTCGGTCACGCCACAAGAAAGACCTAAAGCGTGCATGTATATAACCAAGACTGTAAAGACGACTTTAGGATTCACCTTTTGAGCACTTTGGCCTGTACGTCGCGTGACGCCGCATCACAGCAAGTGACAAATTAGAGCACTGCACCAGAAGTGCGTAACACTCAACTTCATTTACTTGCAGGCTCTAAGAAAATGAGCCGTTGTTCTAACAGTAAGTCTCCTGGCTTAAATGCAAATACTTCAGTCAGACCAAACACAGAATGATTAAAAAACATAAATAACACTGTGTTTGCCTATCTGGACGTCAGCATATTCTCTGCTTCATCATCTTGCTGGAGGAGCACCTTTTGAATTGTGACCTGATTAAAGCAGTTACCACGTAGATGTTGTTTTGTTCCTGGAACACTTTTCCGAATGCCTGCAGCGTTCCCAGTGTAGAAATGGCTCTTCCACAGTCCCAGCATGACTGACTTACAAAGTCCCTTATTTTGTCATTCCTGTACTGCATTTGCCAGCTCTACGGGATAACTATTTTGTGCACAGACTTGACAGATCAAAAATAAAGGCGAATCCTGCTGCTTTCAAGCTGAGCAGTACCTTATTGCTTTTACAGTCCCTTGCACGCAAAGGGAGCTTGCTCGCTCCTGATCCTCCTCTGGGCTGTGCGCGAGCTCGATATGGGCTGGTAGGGGGTAAACGTGGAGCAGTGTCCCCTGCTCACTGTTCTCTGACAAGTTCTCCTTGAGAAGCAGAGGCAGAGCAGCCCGTTGTGTCTCTTGGCTGGAGGCAAAACCTTATCCTCGCTGCACGTTCCAGCACAATCTCTGTGATCTGGCTAGTCAGCGCGCTTGGGAAAGGACTGCGAGTCCCGTATTTGAAAGTACCTATGCCAGCTAGGAGCCTGCGTATCATCAAACGTCAATGAGGTTTGTATTCCTCTCTGACACAGGGGCCGCTGAAATTTTTAACCTGTATCTTTTTCAGTTTTCTGCAGATGGGCAATACTCAGTTTCAGTTCCCTCCTCGTGCTGGTCACCGAATCCTAGGTCCCGTGAAGGTCCTGGGGGCATCACTAGCCCAGCCGCCTGCTCCAGGCAGGGTCCCTCTGAGTGCAGGGCAGGCAGCTCGGGGCTTTGTCTGCTCGGGTCAGGCACAGAGCAACCTGTTTGACTGCTTAATTATTCTTACCATGATGTTTTTTACTTTTTGGCCAGTGATCACTGCAGCCCCTGGCCAGCACCCCGCAGCGGATGTCCGACCGAGGTCCGCTGTGTGGTCACATGTACCACCGCCGACGGGCTGTGCTCTGGAGGGCGCAAGGAGCTCGGATGCTGGCAATGAGCGGCCCCAAAATGCCTGAATCTGAAAAACTAGACAAGTGAAATAAGATATAACTGCAGATATTTAGTTGCAGTGAATCAGCAAAGCAAATGTGTTTCGCTCGAGCCGTGCTGATTTATGGCCCTGGCCCTTGATCTGTACATCTTATTCTTACCGCATGTTTATAAACATGAAGGAGCACTCAGTGGAAGTCAACTGCTGAAAAATGGATGTAATCACATGTTACAATCTTTAGATGATACTAGCTAAAATAGTCAATCTTCCGTGAACGAGAGCAGAAATCAAGCATTGCTCGCTTCACGTCCTACCAGGAGGACGAGTTCTGGACAGAAATGAGTAGGGATGGGCTGAGGGTGTGAGGCAGTTGGTGAGAGAGCTCACTTTTTTGTGTGCTCCTAAGCCCTTCTTTGTCTAGAGCCGTGACATCTAAAGGGGAGGAAGGATTTGATGACTTTGCAGTATTAGGATACAAGTAAGGCCCCCACAGCTGCCACCACCTGGCATCCGTGATGTGGATGTCCCAAAGCCGTGATTGTGCACAGTGGGTTGCTGGATGCTGTGAACTGTAGGAAAGACAAGTAGTTAGATATTACTCTTTCCCTCTTCCCCAGCTGTCTGTAATGTTAAGTTGACTAACAGGCAATTCCCGGTGGTAATTCTGTTACATGTGAAGATACAGTTTTGTGAAAAAAAAATAGCACTGGATAATCTATATGCTACTTTCCACTCCAGTAATTTGCTAAAGTAACATGTAGAAATAAGTGAAGACCAGTGAACGATTTTCTTTTAGCTTATCCGTACTCTGTAAATCATACTCAGCCTACCAGCTTGGTTTGGTGTAGACAAGTGAATAATAGCAAATTTAATCATACCAAGTTTTTAAAAAACAACTAGTGATTTTAGATGCTTCCATTTTTGACTGCTGAACACCCACCTCTTGAATCAGGCTTTTTAAAAGTGTCTCGAGGGTGCATGGCAAAGCTCAGCTTATGGTGTACATAAAATTTAACCCATGCTTGTTTCTTTATTTTGGCATACCCTACTTTAAGTATGTCTTGAGATTTTCTTTTTTCTGGCAATAAATTTCTGTTAGGTATGTGGCTGAAGAACGTAACACATCACTACATATATTTGTGGGCGAATCAGTGTTTTCCTTATCAGTGATTGTATTGGTCAGATATTAAATGAAAGTCAGTATTTAATCGAAGCAATTTTTTATTCCCAGACTATTGTTAGAGGAAATAAACCTCGAAAGGATACTTCAATCAATGGCCTGCTAGAAGAATTTGACAATATCTCAGTGACGCGATCTAATTCCCTGCGGAAGGAAAGTCCTCCCACCCACCATCAAGGAAGTTCAAACCATGTGCAGAGGCACCAGGAGGAAAATGGTTATATCACGTATTCTCAGTATTCCAGTGAGTCAGACACTACAACAGACTATGTCATGGAAAAGTATGGAGACAAGACTCTTTATGGGGAAGAGCTAGACAGATACTACAAAGGTAGTTATGCCACCAAGCAAAATGGACACATGATGAAAATGACTTCCAGAGACATCTATTATTCAGAAGTTAAGCCCCTGAAATCAGACCTCTCAAGGTTCCTGCCAGATTATCATACGCACATGGAAGCCAAAAACAAACCGATTGAATACAGTGGCCTAAAGCTGGAATATCAGAGGTTTCCTAGTGGATCCTCGCTGGACTATCGAGATCCCTTCCCTTATGCTCCTTCTCGAACTTCAGTGCAAAGTGAGTGCTCTAAGGAGAGACTCGAGTATGGTGACAGCGACTGGGGAAACGGATCAGGCAAGGATGATTATGACAAAAGGCCAAAGTCATCATACGTAAACCCGGCAAGTCCTCAGCCAGCAATGAGACAGAGATCCAGGTCGGGCTCCGGTCTGCAGGAGCCAGCCATGCCCTACGGAGCAAGTGCTTTTAAAGCAAACCAACAAGGACACTCGTACAGCTCCTATACCTACCCTCGCTTGTCCGAAACTGCAGCAGGCTTCCCAAAGGTAACGCTAATGCTCCCGATCGCAGCTCTCCCAGCACAGGGACTGACCCCTGCGAAGTGGGAGCATAGAAAACTGTGGGCAAGGATCCATGCCAATGTGACCTGAGGCATGCTGCCTGAAGCTCCCGGTAACCTCGCTGGGAGTAACAAGTCCATGGCTCAATGGGTGTGAAAATGTATCTGCTTTTACTTGTGTATCTGAAAATGGATTTAGGGCACTAACGGGTTTAGGGTGTTTAATATTTAGAGACAGATTTTGAAATGCCTAACTTGCACTGATTTTCCTTGGGATTTCCAAAACCCCAAGCTCTACAAAACTTTTTGTAGTGCTAGAAGTTTGTATGCCAGTGTAGATCTTGGTAGGAGCTGAGAAGTTTGCCTAGTTTGAATACTAGACTCCTATATTTGAGTTTTCTTATTCATATCTCTCTGTTACTTAGAAAAGTGTTCCTGTTCTGCCACAGAAACGCAGTCACAAATTCAGTGCATCTGTTGGGCAGAAGAGCCTTCTGCAGTTAATTCAACATGTATTAAGTCATATAATTACTGACAAAAGGCTGGCTAGCCTCAAGGCTGACATGTCTGCGTTTTAAAACTGTATTTGTATTACAAGTTTTATTAACCCTTTGCCTCTAATGAGAACAGAGATTTTCCCCTCTGCTGTTTTTTTTTTAAACACTGAAATAAAATCCAAGAAGCTTATCTCACCCAAGACATTTTTAGTATAGTTAAAAAAGGTCAAGATGGTAAAAAGCAGTTCTCCCGTGATATCTATAAGCAGCACCTCTGCAGAAATTTTGGCCTGCTTTGCTTTTTCTGAATCATGGGAGGCATATTACTCGTATAAGCTATCCAGCTCTTGGGAAGCTGGCCTGTCGTAATTCTATCGATTTGCTATTTTGTTCAGCTAAGGGAAGAACTCTTTTCTTACATATCTAGTCACATAGCTATAGTGATGACCTGCTTAAACATATAATATTCTGCAAGAGATGTTTTTTTCTTCAGTGTAAATTGCATTGAACATTACCGAGTTCCCCTAGCAACAGCAGCACAGGCTGCTCCCACCCTGCGCAGGCACAGAGATTATAGTTCGTTTTTCTAGGGCTGAAGCGTTCCTGGGTTGTCTTGACTTACCAAATGTTTTGAAGTAGGTAGCTTGTCGAGAGGTGAGAGCTATTCTGCTGTTTAATAATGATACGAACAGTACGTTTTGTTACTCTGGGTAGCCTGGGCTCAGCGCGTTGAGAACCTGGTACTGTCCATCTGCAGAACCAGAAGAAGTCATCCAAGGTCTCTGCAAATACGTGGTAACCATATGCCAGAGCCATGTGAATGTGTTGCTTGCTTTGCTTCTGGCCGCTTTGCTCATTCTGTGGTGCAGAGTTGTCGTTGGGGCCCTGTGGTCGAGGGAGAGTGATGCGTCTTTGTTTCAGATTGCATTCAAACACAGATCGGGGCTTTGGCATTTGAGGATAAATCTTGGTGGGGGGGGGAAGGGGTAGAAGAATATTACCATTGCTAAGTCTCTTCCTTTGCCTCTCCTGAGCTCAGAGTTCGTGAAGAGATGCATGCATTTAGTTGGGGGGGGGGCTGATCCTAACAGGCTGGTTGAGCAGTGCCACCCCCAGCCACTTGCACGGAAGAAGACGAAAGTAACGCTGTCTCGGTGATGTCGGTGAGGCTTTGGAGGTGCTGAGTGGAAGAAGACCCTCTAAGGCCGCTTGAGAAGTAAGATCGGTTTCTGGGCCTCACTTCTGATGCGAGCGGTGGTAGCTTGAGCTTGCGCTTTAGGAGCACACCAGCGCGTGTTTTGTTCTCCCTCTGTCCGGGACGGATGCGAGACGACGCAGGAACGTCAAATGGGTGGATGTGTCGATGCCTTCATGTGAGAGGAGAGCTCCCTCCAGAAAGTTTCCCCGCAGGCTGAATGCTTTGCAAAAATAGGAGTGAGGTAGGATCCAGCTGACTAAACGCAGGCGCCCCTTTCCATCGCTGCTCCCTGGGGCATCCCTCCTGCTCCCCGGCTGCCGTGCTGAGGGGGCCGAAGCCTCCCTGAGGTCTTGCCTTAGATTTACCAACTGAGCGGTGTCATAGCCCAGTAGGTTAACCAACATGTTCGAAATGAAAGGGGCTTCTCAGAAAGGGAGCTATCGCCATGGGTCGATCCCAGCTTTCCGTGGGAGCAGGCCAGTTCTCGGATGGCAAACGCTAGGCGTTTTCTGAAAAAGAGACTCACTGAAGGTGTCTGAAACCAGGCACCGAGAGCATCGTTCGCTCTAGAAGCCTTAAGGGCAATTTATACCCAGCAGCTTTTGCTGGTTTTCTCAGTCCTCAGACAGCAAAAGGGAACCTGAGAATTAAAACAATTCAGGGGGGGAAACATATGTTCTTGGTAACGTATCAAATAAAGGAATTTATTTTGAAAATCCGTCTGTAGTACAGTAAAAAACAGCTACCTTGATGTGAATTCTGGAAGTGATGAGGAAAGCTTCGGACAGGCTATCTATCATTTCCTGCATTTAAAGCAGTCATTTTGTCAGAATTTAGTTTGGATAGAAAGTAGAAGGGCAAATCCGCTGATAATTCATAGACTCCCTTGTGCCTGATCCTGCAAGTTTTACAACATTCAGGAGGACTGAAGATTGAGGCATGTTTTATGGGACTCAAAGCACTGCAGACACTTTGAAAAATATCCTATTAAAATGCAGTAACAGCTTTAGAAAAAAATACGTCCGTGCAAGATTCATTGTTAGCCGTTTCTCTCCCTAGAACATCAAAAACACTCCTACAGCCTTGGTATATTGAAACCTGATGATTCACTGTTACATGCAGCAGTTTCAATTCCCAAGCCCATCCACAGCTCCTGGAAGTGAGTAGCAGTTTCTTGTCTTGGATGATTGCTAAAGAATCTTCTTTTCAAGGAGGCATTAGTAAGATAATGGTTCATTCAGTGAGTTTGCTAAATGAGAATCAGGTCTCAAATCAGATATTTTACAAATGAGATCAGCTTTAAAGTATAATTAAAAGTGGAAAAAGTAAGCATTGAAAAAGTCTGCAGACAATTGCATGGCTTAAAAATACATTTAAAAAAGATGTACATTCCAGCTTTTCAGTCTGAAGAGTACACTTAGTTCAGTATTATTTGCAGCTGATGTGTCAGATAAATCAGATTTATGCCCTATTTCATCATCAGTGATTTCAGGGGTATTACATCAGAAGACTTTTGACCCATCAGGTTTGACAGCAGCGGTGTGGTGGGACCTTTGAAGGTATAGCATGGCACATAGGAGGCTGAGGGCGATCATCCTAGGTGCAGATTTGGTTCCCTCTCAGTTCTCCTCTGTGTAACTCACCTGTTCTTCTGTTCCTGCAGAATAGCTCCTTTAACACTAACACTATAACGGTGTTGTAACACGCGTTCGTGTCCAGGCAGAGCCTGCTGTGGTACCCTTTCGACACAGATACTCTATTCCATGTTGTTCAAAGGAATCTTGTCGATATTGTCACAGCTCTTTGGCTTAACCCGCCTTTCTGCCTATTTTAAACCCATGCCACCACGTTCCAGGTCTGCATATTGCGTTAAGGTTTTCTTCCATAGTTGGGCATTCTGTACTGCATGTTTTTCTTTTATCCTCTTCCTCATCATAGGCAGTCCTCTAAACTTCTTGTGATAGATTGTGTGATTTCAAAGCTCCTTTCACGTGACGCCTTGTGATTTTCCAGTAATGCATCTCTGCGACTCTTTGCTGTCCCTCTCTTCTGCAACCCTCACATCACTGCCAGCCTAACAGGGATCTCCGTCCAGCCTGACTGCTCCTCACACCTCCTTGCTTTTTTAAACAAGGTCTTGTGCAATTTGTAGGTACCCTGTACCAGGAGGATGTTTCCAGGCTGGCAGAGGCAGAGCCAAGGCCTAAGAATCTCTCTCTTTTTTTGCTCTTTTCTCATCCACATATCAAAAGCTGTCCGTGAATGCTGTCTCGTGTCGCTGTGCGTGGAACTGGGCGCTTATCAGAGATTTCTACCGGCAGAGCGCTAGAGAATAGCCTTTTCCCTTGCAATCTGTGTGTACTTTATGGGCCATCTCTTCTACATCTCCGTATGTCGCTGATTTAAATGTGCGGCATGGACACAGGGTTTTTTCCTAGTACACTGCAGAAGTCTCTTCCACCTGCTCCCTTACAGCCCACTTCCCGTCTGGTAGGCAGGTTGTCCTCAGTGCCGCCTAACCAGCTCTTGTCGTGCTGGGAAAGCATCCCTCACGAGCACCAAATATCTCCCGTTTCTCTTGACCGGTGGGTTACCTCTGCAAACTGAGAGCTCGACAAACTGACACCTCCTTTATGTTTATTGAATGGTGACCCCACCGTGCGAGGAGTGTGTCGCTCCCTTACAGGGATCTGTTCTCCTGGTGCTCTCAGCTCTCTGGCTGAAGGGCTGCAACTACCGTTTCTAAAGCAGTCCGTCTTGCTGGGGCCGGAGGTTTCTGCGGCTGCGGCTCGTCTGATGAGGCCCCGCGCGGATAAAAGATTTGCCCAAGCAAACTGCATTATTGGATAAGATATCCCTTACGAGCAAGCAGATGTTTCCACCTAATGTAATACAAAATGGACATCGCTGCCATCAGAGTGGAAACTGAAATGAGTGTGAACGTTGCGTTATATCCTCCTTTTAACAAGAAAAAGGCCTGACTGCCGAAGTGGCCACGTACGGATTTGAGTAATGCTGTGAGTCAGTGAAGCAACCCACGCAGCACCAGAAGTGTATTTCATTGGCACTGCAGTGCCGTGATGGATTTCCTGTCAGAACTTAATCTGCTCTGTTGACCTGATCTTGAATGAGAGCAGGATTGTTTTTTCTTTCCTTGGTTGTATTTAAAGAATTTCCTTTCAGTAGTTAACTGCGTGCAGTGATAGAATTATTTATGGAGTAACGTGCATTTGATTTTGCAATGATGGGAAGAACTGCGTTAGAATACAACTTAGGAGGAGAGGTTAAGCTGATTTAATCATCCTGTCTCCTAAACTTCTGTAATATTTCTTGGTATTCAAGAGGTGGATGATTTTAAACTTTACTGCAAATCAGTTATAAAATGCTAATTTCAAAAAGCTTTTAGAAATTTTTAGCAAAGACCTTGGCCTTTTTTCAATGTATTTTGAAACCCTGAATTTTCATTCTAGAATTTCACTGTGGAATTTGCTTTTACCAACATACTAAGGATAGGAGATGCTCAGATACTTCAAGCATGGGTGAAACCCAGCCTCAAACAATTAATTAGTGTGGATTTATTTAGCTGAAACTTCTAGGCTGGGCTTCCCCCCTCTCAACATAAAAAATGTTGTGTGTGGCTCTATGTAAATAGGTATGTAGGACAGAACTAAATTGAGTTCCCCTCCCTCCCCTGAACCATCTGCACGCTTTTCCGTGTCAATTAGATTGGCAAATGTAACGTCCTTTGTGAAATTCATAATGTATCTTACCCCTTTTTATTTTATGGGTGCCTCTGCTTGAAGGTTTAAGTGAAATTGTGACTATAATTATTTGTATATTTTGCTCATATAACACTAACGTCTAACGAGTATTGCACAGCAGTACTGTTACGTGTTGGATGCATGCAGCATGTGGCTGAGAGCTGTCACTTTGCAAGTCTGACACTAGAGCAGGATTCGGTTTCACATTTGGGAGAAGAATCTGTAAGGAGCCCTTCCGCAGAGGCATTCCCTTGTGCCTTTCCAACTTCATTTGAAATGAAAAGACGGGCACGTCCAGCCCACACGTGATGTTGGAAAACGCTGATATAATATTGCACTTTGAGGTTTTTCTCCCCCCCACTGACTAGACTTCAGCTAGAAACTCCTCCTCACTGTGCAGCAAGCTACAGTGATAAATTGATGCTGCGGCAGATTTTTTTTTTTTTTTTGCAGTCTTAGCATAAAACGGTCAAATGATGTTCCACTGCAGAATTCAATTTCACAGTTCAGTTGGGTCCTTGATTACACTGCCAAATTCAGATTAATGTGCATTTAACTAACATGGATCAGGGACTCCTGGCTGGCAGCCAGCAGTAATAGTAGCAACTGTGAGCTGTGTAGAGTTTTATGCTCTGTCCACCCCTGTGCACCGCCAGTGAAATTGATTGATTAAATGAATTCATTGCCACAATTATTTGTAATTGTGCTACATTGTGAGCCTATGTCTAACCAACCCCTCCATGTCCCTCCCCCCCCCCGGGATGACCCACGCATTGTCAGGAGCTACGTGTGCTATATCGTAAATATGGAGATGTTCTTTTTCGGAAAATTTTTGAATTCTCTTTTTGGATGAGATTTTTTTGCCTTTCACCCTTTTTTTTAGTTTTGGTAGAGACAAACGATTGGTCGAGTATCTGGTTTGAGAACGTAACATACTCACTTGCTTTCAGTGTAAGAGGCTTAGAAAAGCTTGAGAAAATAAAAAGAAGAAAGGAACCTGTAAATGAAAAAAGCTTCCCATCGAGATAATTTCCTCTGCGATTGTCTCTGATTTCAGATGAAAATTAGTGGTTTCGTGACACTGCAGTTAAGTAGTTTGTCACTCTGGAAAATGATCTAAGAAATGGTAAATTGAATTAGTCTCCTCATTATGCCTTGCTTGAAGGAAGTCCCTTTGAAAACTCCAAAAACCAACTCTCATTTCAAATAGGTTGCATGCTCACCTAATCATAACTCTCCATGTTGTACCCCTTCACAGGTAAAACTCTAGCTTGAATTTCCATTGCCGCTGTGCTGGTGTTTGCTTCATCGCTTGCAGTGCTCTGCCCGTATTGCGGTAGTAATGCAGTTGGTAAGGATTACACTGGTATCACTCCGGGTTGTAGAGATGGAGGGGAGGCCCCCTGAGGAGGCTGAGCATGTAAGTGAATGTGCTGTTGTCATTTTAAGCTGTATAAGGCTAGGAAGAAAAAAAAGGGAGGAGGACAGAAAGGAGGGCTGCATCTGTTGTGCAGTGCTCCATAAAGCACACTACAGTACAGACGTGCGCCAGCGCAGGCTGGGGGCTGGCCTGCTGGAAAGCCGCTTTGAGGAGAAGGACCTGGGAGTCCCGGTGGACAACAAGTTGACCATGAGCCAGCAATGTGCCCTTGTGGCCAAGAAGGCCCATGGCATCCTGGGCTGCATTAGGAAGGGCATTGCCAACAGGTCGAGGGAGGTGATCCTCCTCCTCTACTCAGCCCTGGTGAGGCCACATCTGCAGTACTGTCTCCAGTTCTGAGATGATGAAGGGACTGGAGCATCTCTCGTGTGAGGAGAGGCTGAGCGAGCTGGGCCTGTTCAGCCTGGAGAAGAGAGGACTGAGGGGGGATCTGATCAATGTGTACGAGTATCTGAAGGGAGGGTGTCAAGAGGATGGGGCCAGACTCTTCTCCATGTTGCCCAGCGATAGGCTGAGAGGCAACGGGCACAAACTGAAACGCAAGCAGTTCCATCTGAACATGAGGAAGAACTTCACTGTGAGGGTGACAGAGCACTGGGACAGGTTGCCCGGAGAGGTAGTGGAGTCTCCTTCCTTGGAGATATTCAAAAGCCGTCTGGACACAACTCTCAGCAATGTGTTCTAGGTGACCTTACTTGAGCAGGGGGGTTGGATGATCTCTCCAGAGGTCCCTTGCAACCTCAACCATTCTGTTATTCTATGACAGTGCTATCCTGCAGATGGTAGGAAAGGCAGGTAAGTCCCAGCTGCATCTGTGCCAGGAAATGAGTTTTGAGGCTGGAAGCTAATGAGAGGGATCAACCCTTTTTGGACAAGGTTGGGTTCTACCTTGTGCAAATATCTCTATCTGCAATGCCAGGCTGAGGAAGTCTCACCTCTGTCCCTGCGTCAGGATCTGGGTGATAGGTGCCAACAAGCGACATGAGGACTGCGTGCCATGCTGCCAGGGATGTCTCCAGCCCATGCAGCTTCCTGGGTGCTGCAAACAGCTTCTGTGTCAGTTCTTTACCTGCGCTGCCTGCTGCAGGCTGCTGGTGATGCCTGGGCAGTACAGTCGTAATGGTGCAAAACAGCAGCAGCCAGGTAGTGGTGTTTGGCAGCTACACTGGGTCAGCCCAGCAGCTGTGAACACAGTAGTCACCATGCAGGAAACGGTATATTCCCGGCCTGCCCTTGGTAGTACCTTGCTGGTCTCCTCTAGGGTCCTGGTTTTGCACCCTTTTCAAGCTTGTCTTAGTGCAGCTCTTCTCATTGCTATGCCGTGTTGACACTTGGAAAAGTGGAAAGACAATCAAGCTAGATAGCTCCTTGCAATGGAAAATCTAATGGTCTAAAAATTTCTTTTCAGATACAGGGTAACAATGCCAATTTGAAAAGAATGAGTACTTTGACTGCAGAAGAAGTGTATTGTGCCAGCACCCAGCTGAGGACCTCCAGGGGTACTGAAAATGAACTAAGTGTTGAGGGTTGGCTGGACACATAGAAACCATTTGACTTTAACCAAATGTCCCAAAAGGAAAGTTGGGAGACTGATTAGGGAAAAAGAAAAATGAGCAATCTCTGTGAGAGCAGTTTGTACTGTGGTGCCGGAAGACTGATGTCTGGCATGATGGGTCACTCACGTGTTTTAAATGCTAGTAACTGTCACTCTTCAGTGCTTGACCAATGTGTTAACCTGCCTATTTCTGTTTTGCAGGTGGATTATGATCGAGCACAGATGGTAGTTAGCCCACCACTCTCCGGATCGGACACCTACCCTAGAGGCCCAGTAAAGCTACCTCAAAGTCAAAGCAAAGTCAGCTATTCAAGCAGTAGCTACCAGTATCCTTTAGTCTATCACAAAGCATCTCTCTATCACCAGCCGTCTCTCCAGCCAAGCTCTCCCTATATTTCCACGGCTTCCTACCCGAGCTCCCCAAGTGTCACATCAAGTGCTTATCCTCCACCGAGCTGGGGTTCCTCATCAGACCAGCAGCCGTCCCGGGTGTCCCACGAACAGTTCAGAGCTGCTCTGCAGCTTGTCGTCAGCCCCGGCGACCCCAGGGAATACTTGGACAACTTTATCAAGATAGGAGAAGGCTCCACAGGGATTGTCTGCATTGCCACTGAGAAACACACAGGAAAGCAAGTCGCAGTGAAGAAAATGGATCTCAGGAAACAGCAGAGAAGGGAATTACTCTTTAATGAGGTAAGTTATTTTGGATAGTGGGACCAATTTTACAGGTGATAGATTGAACATGAAACATGAACGAAACGGCAACCCGAGTGAATGTTTTTTTAAAAGAGGTGGTGACTTCTAAGTACGTTTGTGGTGTAGAAATATTGTAGAACCAGGCAAGTTTCAAATTGTCTTCCTGGCTTTAAATCTATAACTCCATGAAAAATCATAGCAAGCATCCGAGAAATCTATCAGCTGATCCTTACAGAACATAAGGCAGGACAAATACCAGACTTTCAGGAGAAGAGGGACAAGTAGAAATAAACCATCCCTTTATGGTTCCTTTCAGGGTACTTTTGTGGTATTCACGCTCTCTTGTATTAGAGATTAAATTATTTATTTTCAAATGCAAATGCTTTGTTTCTGTTCTGAGAGCAGTGAAGGGGGGATTGGTAAGCAAATCTGGAAAGCATGTCACGGAGGACCTCTATTTCAGCTATGTAGCGTAGAGATGAAGTCAGCCTGGGAAGTCTGAGTGCATCCTCAAGTCTGTATTTAAGGGAGCTCCAGGGTCTCGACATCCAGAGTAGCAAAAGGTCAGTAAGCTCTTCCTCCAGCACACCGTGCCCCATAGCAGTGCCCGTGGCGAAATTCACATCCTCTGGATCAGACTGAGGGTCCGAATCATGTGACCGTGTCAGCTGCTAACCTGGCCTTGTGCTGGGACTGAGGGTGTGTACGCTGAAATCCCTGAGAGTTGACATACAGGTCAGTTTTGTTCATGGTATTCACTAAGCAAGTTTTTATCCCCATCGGTTCTTTATGGAATATTATGTTCCTTTATGGAATATTATGATGACACAGCTTTGTGTCCTGTGCAGTTGAGACACTGCAACGCTTATGTTCAGGCAGCTCCCGTTATTTCAGAGCTTTGTGTTTAGGAAGAATGAAGTAAGTACCCTGTGGGGAGAGGTGGATGGATTTAGATCTTCTCTCCACATGAGTAAAATCTTAAATGATTAAGAGTGCGTGCAATCATGTGTTTAGTCAGAAATACTGGGAAAAGGTCTCAGGGCTTAAAATCAGTTCATTGTTGTCATATTCTAGATCCTGGAAGAACAGAAGACTAGTCAGACGGAACAGTCTGGTATTCTGTCCTAAATATAGACCACCCTGACCCGTGAACTGTCCCAAATACTGACCAGTGCTGGACACTTAGGGAAGAGCAGAAGGCAGGCAGGCAGGGAAATCACTGTTGTGATTTCTACCTTTCCCATCTTCCAGATATACGTGGCTCAGGGACATGTTGAGCCCAGTGTTATGTAATTGTTTAATAGCTCTTGATGGATTTTTCTTCCATTGCTTTGACAATTTGTATTTTTAAACCTTTGTTTACTTTGAACCTGCCACCTAATCATTTCATTTATCGTCACCTGTTCATCTTTTCCAAGTTGCTTATTGTGTTATTTATCGTCACCTGTTCATCTTTTCCAACTTCCAAGTTGCCTACCTGTCATAGTACTCCTCAAACATGTAATTGCCATACTGAAGAATCAGGGACTCACAGAAATATTGATTGGAAGGTGCCTGTGAGGTCCTCTAGTCTCGCTCAAAGCACGACTATCACCAACTCTAGGCCAGGTCAGCCATGGCCTTGGCTAGGTGAATCTTGAAAACCTCCAAGGATGGGATCCCACAGCCTCTCTGGGTACGTGTTCGAAGTACTGTACTGCCCTCCTAGTGAAGGTTTGCTTTCCTAAATTCTGATCTGAAGCTCCCAAGCTGCAACCTGCAGCTGTTGCAACTTGTGATCCAGTCTGTTTATTGGTTTCTCAGGCAGAAGTCATTCCATACAGCTGGTCATCCTTGGGTGCATCTGTATTAGCAACTTATTAAAGACCCAGTTTGCACTTTCAAAATAAATCTCTTGATCATCCTCATTTACTGCCCTTTGTTTTATACTGTGGAGCAGCCTTGGAGCACAGAAACTGGATTCCGTCAGGGTGAACCTAAACCAACACAGGCGTGCCAGGAGCTCACATGATGTGCTCCAGCTGCTCTCCCAAAGTGAGGCTAGAGGAAGTCCAAAATAAAACTCTGAAAAAATGTATGCCACGCACATAAGATACTTAAAACCAGCTGTTTCACTCTACAGATCTCCGTCTGGTCTGCATTATTTGCAAATGGAAACATAGCCCTTGTTGGCTTTTTCTAAACCTTTTCTGGTATTAGGTTATCCCTCTGAGGTGGAGAATCCAAACTAAATTCAAGAATCACCAGACTGTTGGTGATTCTGGTGCACCAGAGTGCACCAGACTGTTGTCTGGCATATACGTAGTTTTTGTTTTCTCCTCCCTTCCGCTCCTAACTGTTAGCAGTCCCGTTTGCTTCCTTGATGGCTGCAGAGCGCTGAGCTGACAGTCCTTTTTTCGTGGAGTCATCTATTATAATTCCAAGGTCTCTTTTTCCAAGTGTTAATAGCAGTTCAGAGCCCACTACTGTATAGGTGAAATTAAGATTATTTTATTCATGTGCTTTGCTGTAAGTTTAAGACACTGAATTTAATTTGCCGTTTTATCACCCAGTTGTTTGGTGTTGTGAGTTCCTTCTGCAACTTGAAGAGTCGGTTTTCCTTTTCGCTCCCTTAAATAAGTTAGTAGTCTGCATTCTCCACTTCCTTTTTAGATCACTTACGAATATGCTGATCAACACTAAAAATATTGCAGGGCCCCAGGAACCTCTCTTATGAAATCTAACTATTTAATCCTACAATTTGTTTCCTGTGTTTTAACAAAAAGAGGGCATGTACTGCCCTCAGTATATGGCAGTCTGGTTTCTTTGAAACTTTAAAAATCTTAACATTTTTAATCAAAATATTAATTTTGAAAAAAATTTCCTTAAAGGCTTTTGATCTGGGACCTTCTTGAAATCCAAGTAGACCAAGCTTTACCTGGATTACTTTTGCTCACTTGCTCCTTAAAAGAGCTGTAACAGTTTTGTGAAGCATGATTTTCCTAGACTCTTCCTATTTGTCCCTGTTACTGATTAAAAGAGTCACGTGAAAATAGTTATCATTTCTACCAGCTTGCCTAGTACAGACATTGGATTGCGCTGCCATTATTTAGATCCCTGTGGAACTTCCTTTGAAAATTGGGATGATATTCACCACTTTTCATACTTGGGATACCGAGTTTTAAGAAACAGGTTAGACACGCTGTTAACAGTTTCATAGTTTCATACTTGACATCCTTTAGGACTTTAAGTGAATACCGTCTGATCTAAGGCATTTGTTGCTGTTCATTGCATTGATTCCTTCAAAATCCTCCTTTACTGCCGAAAGCGGTTTGAGACAGATCCTGTGATACCGGCACCGTCAAGCGCAGTCCTAGCGTGGGGGTCTCCACAAGCTCCACCGTGGACAGGGGCGCCAGGCTTCCACCTACCTTTTTCTGCAATGGCCTGATCCTTAAATGTTCCTTTTAACAAAATGATCATTTACTGGCTGTCCAGATTATCTGGCAGGCTTCGTGCCTCAGGTCTGTTTTTGACTCTTTTGTTGTTAGTTTTTATGCTTGGAGCAGTGTGCTCTTCAGAATCGCTTTGGTCTGTCTGTCTGTCAAGTTTTTATATTTAAGGCCAGAGTTCATACTGTTTTCTTTTTCCTCATTTGGACAAGGCGCTGTTTTGATGGGCAGCTTTCTTATTCCTAATACACTCGTTTACTCTACTGTCAGCCATGCCAGTCTTTTCCTGGCATTTCTAAGATCTTTTGGATAGATTGTATTTATTTGCTTTATAGGTGCTTTTTAACAAGCTTCTTCATTTTCACATAATTCTCCTTCTTGAAAGCTATGACTGTACTGAGTACTTTGGCTTTATTTTGCCCCTGCTGTAACATTGCATTGAATTGCATTGCAGTAACTCTTAACAGAGCATTTCTTGAACAGTGACATCTTGAAGCAGGTCCTACATGCTGCTCAGGACCAAGTAGAGAGTTGCTTTTCTGACAAGCTCCAGCCATTCATGTGATCTAAAATTTTATTTTTGGCATTGCTGAAGTTCCTCCATTACCTACGTTGCAGTTGTGTTTTCTATCCCTGTAGCTTTTCTGATGTTCTGCAGTGTGGTGCAGCCATTGTCACTGTCTCGGCTGGGCTGATGTTAGCTTAGTCTCAGTTCTGTACTTTCTCTTTTAGGTATGCTGTTTCGGTTCACAGGGAGTACTATTGGAGGATGTGTCAGCTGGTTTATCTACTGGACTCAGTGTGTTCTCAAACACACAGCAGTATTCCTTGGCCTGCCCAGCTTGTTTGGTTATAATTTGTGCCCCGATAATACAGCATCCCACTGACTACCTTGCTTCCACTCCATTAGGAACAGCTAATGTGCTTATTATGTCAATGTCGTTATTTAAATCAAAGCATTCTGCTTATCCTACCATATCTGTCATGCTTACAGCACTTTTGACCCGGTGTCTTTTTTACTGTAGCGTTTAAATGAAATCACTCGTTTGAGTAAATTCATTCTACTTGGGTTTTGTCAGTTTGTGTCTTACACTTACTTGAGGACGCAGAGTTTTTTGTAATTGCACCTCTGGAAGAGCCTTCATCCCAAATTGTCGACTCTCCTCCGTTTTTTTGTTTAAAAACTGCTAGAGTTAGAAGACAAAATGTTAAGCACTTCAGAAGTAAAATTGTTCATATAGATAAACAAATCCAGCAAATTTCACATGTACAGAAATTCTTGCTGACTTCCAGGGATTATGTATGTGCACAGGTCTTCCCTCATTAAGGGCTATAGACACCCCAGATTAGGCATTGCGTGACTTAACCTAAATTCAAGGTACAGATGTGCAGAGCTGTTCTGGCACCTGTATAGCAGATTCACCCATATACCAGACCTTAAGATATTAACTATTCTAGCACTTAGCATAAGATTAATAAGTACTTAGCATTTTTAAAAGCGTAACTCTGTCTACACCATATTAGTGATCATTCTTTTCTCACCAACAAATCATTCAGATTTAAGTGAAGAAATTATTCCATTTCCAGGCAAAATATTGTGAGGAGTGAGAAAAGCTGTATCTTTGAGGTGTGTGTGTGGGGGGGATTAATTATAAACGGGTAGTAAAAAACACAGAAGTAAATCAGTTTGGACTATTCCCTTTCTAGCTTGGGTGTCAGAATTATGTATGTATAATGACAAAACTCTGCCAGCCAGTGAGCGCAAGCTCCTCGAGAGAGTCAGCAAAATCACCGAGGAATTTCGAAGAGCAGCTCAAGCATTAACACTCGGATTTAGACCAAGGCTCAGGGATTTATTTTTCAAAGTGTCAATTATAGCTCTCTGTTTTTGGACCACATAGAGACACTGAAGAGCAACTCCTTGAACAAGATACGTGATCCTGTGAGGATCCGTCAGCGAAGCCGAACTGAGCTTGGTCCCTCCAGTCACTCATACTGTAATGCATATAGACAATTTGCTCCTTAACCCTCTAGGGATACCCAAGCCCAAATCCTGGTTCCCTTCTCATTTTACTGCCTCTGATGTGGTCAGTGGCACAGGGATCTCAGAGTCCTTTAACACTGAGCCACCTTATTAATACTCCCTATATTATCAACTTTTTGTTAAAATACTCTGCAAGGTACATGATGCTATATTGCTGCATGATGGAGAAGACTTTGATGGGTTGGCTGACTGATCGAGGAAAAATCTCTGTTGTACTGAAAGCAGCTGGCCAAAAAGTTATGAAACGAATAGTCCTTTCCCTGCATTCAGGGAAAAAAAAATTATCTACCACTTAGAAATTTAGCAACTAAAAATTCTTCCTCTTTCCTGTTGTATTTATGATGAATGTCATTTTTATGTAAATGTATTGATTTTGTTTATGTGTTGGTATTAGCAGGAATTTTTTTTTACATTTACTGACTGCAAAGAGAAAAGTACAGTGAAAAAGAAGGTCAAAAGAAGCGTCAGATAATGCTTGTAGTAATTCACATACAGTCTTTTTCCTGTCTCGCAGGTTGTAATCATGAGAGATTACCATCACGACAATGTGGTTGACATGTACAACAGTTACCTGGTTGGCGATGAGTTGTGGGTGGTGATGGAGTTTCTGGAGGGCGGTGCTCTGACAGACATAGTGACTCACACAAGGTATGTTGGGGGAGCACCCTGTCACCTGCGTTGTGTCGGACGAGCAGGATGAATCCCACGACGTAGCCGAGGCACGAGGGCGATGTGGCAGCTTTCCTTTGCGTCCTCCTCCGCACTGTGCCACGGTTAGGACTGCAGGAAGAAAGAGGAGCCGACTGAGGTCGGAGGAGCCCACCTCTCTGACACTTCAGGTTAAGCAATAGTTGTTCAAGCAGTCCAAGTGTGTCTGGCCAGGAAAGTCCAGTAAGGAAGTCATTCTGCTGAGAAACATGCAAAAAGTTCTTGAAACTTTGCTGTACGTTTAATCTTTAATTCTTTTTGTAGCGGAAGCAGGTTTTCATATCTGAAAATACTCAGCCGTGCTAAATAGGCAGTAGGTTTATTTTTCTCTGTTTGCGCTGTCAGGGCAAATGATAAGTCCTCTTTGCATCTGCAAAGACCTGAGTTTAGGTTTTGTGTTTCTCACACAGGGACTGTGGAGCGTAACAGTGCTGTATGGGATTGATTCCCAGGGAAGTACTGAAGTCTTGGCTTCTGTTGTAGCAATAAAAAAAGAGGGAGGGAAGCGTTCACAACACAAATGAATAAAAGTGCAGATACCCCTTTAGCCGGAATTCAAGCCAGTTTCTCCTTCTCCTGTGTTTCTAGTCCCAGGCCCATCTTTCCCTTTTTTGTTGCTCCTTGATGTCCTTCGTACAACTTCCACTGACTCCAGGGAAGACAAACCTTCACCCCACAGTCACCGATGCTGAGTGGTTGTTGGGAATCTGTCGTGGTGTGGGATAAGCGTAACCCTTGACCATGCTAGGGGAGCACATATACCTTGGCAGCTGATAGTTGCATCTTTGCAAAGGCCAGCGCGAGCTCTTACCAGACCTGGCCTTCCTCCCCAGCCAGACCTCGCTTGCCCCTACGTTTACATCCCCACCACCGCTGGTGTCCCTTCCTACCTCACCTTGCAGTGAGAAAAGCTGGATATCTCCTAGCTATATGTATGTATGTGTGGGTGTGTATATGCAGGTGTGTGTGTAAATATATATATATGTATAGCTGTATATGTGTGTATGTGTATATACACATGTGCGTGCACATACATATATACATATGTGTGTACTTATACAATAATGCACGCACGCGCACACACACACACACAGTAGCATACTCACTTTATTAGCATAAATAAACCACTGCCGATGAATTCCTATCAGTACAGCCATTCTTAAGTGAAAGGGAAGTAAATATTTAAGAGGGCTTATTGGTAAAAGGGGGTTTGCTGGGAGAGCTTTAGTAGCTAATCTCCCAGCAGAGACGTGGCTTTTATCCACCAATGACTCAAATGCCAAAAGGGGCTTTGTTTCTCTGTATAATGATCTATATTGTTGTTTTTGCTGTCATAACTTTGTCAGCTGTAAGGGGAAATTTCTTTCCCCACTCAAAAACCCATGTAAGCGTGCTTTCAAAAATGTTAACTGTGACCCAGGCCTAAGACGTAACGGGATACATTTTTTTTTTATCAGTATATTTGTGTTAACCGTATTTCAGTTAATACTGTGACTTTCAATAAGGTGATTAGCCAATACAAAAGCTGTAGTGTACTAAACCTCACTGCCAGTTTCTACAACCCGCTTCGTATCTGCTCTTCACTCATCTTTTTCTGCTAAACAGGATGAAATGAGATAGATAGGAAAGAGGAGAGGAATTCTTTATTTAATTTCTTCTCCTTGAATTAAAAGAAATAGTTTACCCATTAATCCATTGGAAGGACATTTAGGTGAGCAAGAAGAAAAGCAAGGAATCGTAAACAAGGCACCAAAATTTGTCTTCTCTCATAGTTTAATGACATTCTTAGGTCCTACCAAAAGAAGACTTTTGAGGTATGTATTCTATTTTTAAGTGTCGCCTTAGCTGACATGCTGAAATAAATCACAATTTTGCAAGTCGTTTGTTAGCTACCGTTCCCCAAAACATTGAACTCACTATCTCAGATATTTCTGACAAGAGTTTAATGGCAAACAGATGTTCCCAGGATACCGCTTCGTAAGAGCTGTCATCTTTTTTTTTTTACTCACACTAGTCATTCCTTAATCTTCTGGGCTTTTTTACATTTTATGACCTTCCCTCAAAGATTTCCCTGAACTACTTCCCATTGCATCACACAGTTAAAGCAGAAATCTCCTTGAGTATTTTTCTGGTAAAGTTATAGAGATGATTTTGGCTGGCTGTTTCTGGGACCTGCGCTGGTTTGAGTCGAACACAAGGTGAGTGATAACGCGCAGAGGAGACAGCGCTCGTTGCTACCTCCGTCATTGCCTGGGCGCTGCGGGAGGCCCGGCGGACGGGGCTGCCGTGCCAGGGCGCCTGCCCGTACCGCTCGTCGCCTCCCCTCCCTGGCACTGCCATCGCCCGCCTCTAGTCGTGGGACAGACCTCTTTTTGCAGAATGGGGTTTTGCACATGTGCACGTACATGACGACTAGATAATTTATATTGTTTTCTTCTGAAATACACTTATTATTTTTATAAGACACATAAAAGCAAAAGAAATGCTCTCGGAGAGTTACACCCAGGGCAAGACATTTTGTCTCCAAAATGAGAGTATTGTTTCTCTTATTTATTCCTTGAGTGATTCCGTTTCAGTAGTGATTTATCCTTCTTGGCAAGTAGTAAAGTTACTGTGAAGAAGGCATTTCAGTTATTTCCCAGAGGGAAACAGACTCACTTTAACATGCTGTATCACGTAATATGCTACTCTGGTTTAGTGCTATAGGGTAACTTACCCAGACCTTGTTTCTGAGTTCTTCCTCAGACGTAATCTTCCCTTTTTCTACAGAAATAGGCCTGGGGGGTTGCTCCGTGGTGGTCTCCTGGCTGTCCACGCTCCCCGTGCCATGTGTCAGAAACTGGCAGATAAGGCAGATACATGTACCAGCACATGGAAGGGGTCTAGATCGTCCCCGTTGCCACCATCTGTGGCATGGGGCTAGTAGCAGTAAAGAGAGACCATTTCATTTACACAGCCCAGCCATACCAGGGAGACGCTGTCCCGGAAAAGGCTCTTTTGAGCCGTACAGTGCTATTTCTGTGTGGTTGCTTTTCAGACAAGGACATCCTCTAAAGGCAAAAAGCCCTGTTTCTCCAGGCAGGCTTCTCGGCGTGTTGCAGGACAGTTGTTCGTGGTTGTAAAATTGGGACCTGGAAGAGGGAAGGGAGAGGGCTTGGCTGGATCCACAGCTTCCCACGAAGCAGCTGCTGTTTTTCAGTTTGAACCACCACTGGCCAAAAGCTTTAGTTTTTGCAAGCTCAGGAGTGCCAGAGCTGCAGGGCAAGCCACAGCAGTTGGGGCAGGTAGCAACTAACATAACTCTGAGACAAAGCTAAGGGTTTTTTGAAGTATTACTTAATTTACTGTCACTGTACTGCTGGGCTTTGTGGTTTTGTTACGGGGTCCCCGTTATTACAACTGTCGTAACTGCCTTGAACGGGAGAGTTGTGTGTCTTTACTCCAGCTCTGCTATTTTCAGTCCACTACCCTTTTCTTGTTTCTTCCCTGAAGTTCAGCTTGTTTTCCAACCTTGTTGCTTTAGAATGAATGAAGAGCAGATAGCTACCGTCTGTTTGTCTGTCCTGAGAGCGCTGTCCTACCTGCACAATCAAGGGGTTATTCACCGTGACATCAAAAGTGACTCCATCCTTCTCACAAGCGACGGGAGGGTGAGTGTTCAATGGTTTTCACCTCGCTCTCTCACTGGGTTGCAAAGGGAGTGGGTTAATCCCAAGCAAAGAGTCTGTCATGGCAACAGCTTCATTAAACCCACGGAGAGTGCTGCGAGCTCTCTGCGGGCAGGCAGGCGGTGTCTCCTGGGGCTGCCGCCTCTCGCCACCTTTCCTTCAAGACACCCAGGAGCTGGGATGCCATCTCGGAGCAGTGGTTTTCTTAAAATAGTAAATGGTAGCGTAACGTAGCCCACATTGCCGGTGATAACATACACTCAGAGGTGTACGAGGTGTACAGTGAGTTAAGGTAGTTCTGCATGTCACATAGCTGTTGAAAGCGACACTATCTAAAAAAAAAAAGAAAAAAGAAAAGAAAAGAAAAAAAGAAAGCTGAGTCGGTGAGCAGCTATTCTGCTCCACACCGGGAACTGCCGTGCGTAAGAACTAGGCTCTTGGTCCTAGTGCAGCTGAACAGCCTCTAGGCAGCCCTGGCCCCAAGACGTGCCCCCTCCGACGCGCAGGTGCCTCCACCTGGGCAAGCCCAGGATCCCCCAGCAGTTGTGGACGTGGGGTCTGCACTCCTTAGCAGCAGAGGCGGACGGCTTCCTCAGGCTCTGGAGGCCCCTCCAGTTGAAGCCACGCCAGGAATGCAAAAGTTGTAGAGCTAAAGCAAGAGAAAACTGCCCAAAAGGGAGAATGCAGCTCAGCATTTAAGCTCCCCACTGGGGAGGAAGACTAGAAGTTTTCATCCCTCGATTCTTCCTGTTTCTAATCCGATGACTGTGTAATGCAAAATGCATAAACAGGTCTTGGGAAGAGTAGCCTAATCTGCTGGGTTTTTATTGATTATATTAAGAAATTAATTAATTACAATTGTGTATAGAGTGGTTCAGCTCCAGATTAGGTTCTGTAGCACAGCTGCTACCGGACTGCTGAGCCCGACTGGTGAAACCACCTATTCAGTGGTAAGTTTTGTGAACAACTTGTTGCAGAGCTAAGTCAGAAAAAGGCAGGCACGGCCTGGCAGAGGGTTAACGTCTTCATTGCATGTGTGGCCCATTGTGGGGGTCCTGAGCAGGCAAGGTGCAGTGGCAGTGGAAACTATCCCACAAGGATAATGCTTACGTAACGGGAGACCTTCTTTTATGCTGTGCTACTCCTACCCTAACGCCTCTCAGAAATATTTTCTTTTTACTATATTTAGTTATGTAACCTTTTATAGTCTGTTTGCTCTGTTCTCCTGAGATGATTAGGAGACTAACTTCAGTCTGTACTAATAAGAGATGTTATAAATTACTACTGAAAAGCTTGCCTTACTATAATTGTACCTTTTATTGTACATAAGCTTGTGAGACTGCAGATAGTGCCTGATTTTTCACAGTCTCACCTGACAGCTCCCCATTACTCAAACTGCAGCATTGACGCTTTGAGATGTGGTAATTTCGCCGTCTTCGTCGTGACCTCATGGGTGCCTGTTAGACACTTGCGCTAAAGCCTACCCTCCATCCTCAAGCGTCCTAAATGCCTTTCTGCAGGGCAGCAAAGCGGCAGCCACAGAGCTAGCTGTGGACTGAACTGAATCCCTGTCCCAAAGAAGCTGCTGTTTCCCTCCAAGGAGAAAGACAGGTCTGGGCTGTGATACTTCTGGGCATACGCACCACTAAAAATTTAGGCGCCTAAGACTTGGAGGCAGAGGGAGGCAGATCATACTTAAATATAAGAGCCTAATTTTCGCTTAAGTTAGGCACTTGGCTGCTCAGTTTGGATCTCACCTTATGATCCCATTAGGGTAATTAGTAAAAACTAACGTGCTCACGGACAGTGGGGCCCGTAATCAGAGTTTTAAGGATTGCTCTACTGGAGTTACACATCAGACTAAAGCAAAACTGAGTAAGCAAGTTGGACTTAGCCCAAGACCACCCAGTATATGTGGAAACAAATCTAGATCATCTCATTCGGAAGGTAAAATCTTGGTCCCAGCCGGAGGCAAAGACAGACCCCCCCTGGCTTCAGGGACGGCCACTTTCCAGGCCTGGTCCGATTCCCTAATCAAAGCTGTCCTTTACGATTTGATTCCTGCTTCCCCAAGTGAGAAGGCTGTTCGTCCTGCAGCAGACCCAGGGCACTCCTGTTAATTCTGTAAGGGGAAGGAAATTCCAGGTATGGAAGAGTTTTTCAGTTGCATTTCAGTCCATGTTGCTGAAATAGCATCTGATCTGCATTCAGGATCTGCATACAGTGCCTCATTATACTCATTACTCCAGTACTTATTATCTGCATTGCAGATTTCTTCATGCCTGTGTTGTGCAATTATCTTTTTTTAGAAAATCGTCTTCTTTTGTGTACTCGAGTGAGCAATAGATATGCAAAAGCTCTTGTGCTCCTACAAAAGGAGATTGGGCTCTGCTTCCAAAATATGCATTATTTCATCTATTCTTCATCCTGTAAACTGAAAAATACATTTAGCATGGAGAACTTGGCTATTATTGGCTTTGTTTTAGAAATACTAACAATTATTTTGTAATTCTGTTAAAAATAATACCCTCAGTTTAAAAAAAAATAGTAATGTCTGTATCGAATCCAAAAGAAAACAAATCAGTGCTGATAATAAAGTGCTGGTCTACACAATGCAGCAATTTATGGAACTTCCTACTTAACTTGTCATGGAGCTGTTTGGGTTTGCTTCATATCCCCAAAGGCTGAATACACGATCTGATTTGGACTTGATGTGTTCATCTTTTTTTTTTCACCTTCTGTGAATATAAAATGATTAATAAGCTTATTTCTTGAAGCTAATAGAGTGGGATTTTTTCATGTATTTATTTGGAGGCCTCGAAACAATCATCAGGGTTTTTCCGGAGGCTGTTCCACATTAAGATAACCCTTCTTGCTATACACCACCTAGAGCAATGGCAACCCAGGCCTGGCTAAGCAAAGGTCAACCCCCTTAAGCTTCAATTTCCAAGGTACAAAAGCTGTAACAGGAGTGACATATATCAATTGCAATATGTTTCTGAATATCATTTGACATGCGTACACACGCTGCAAACATAGCTTTTGTATGTATGCAATGATATATTCTTTATAAATAAGGATTTTATTAGTTTGGAGCTTTTTGCTTTTCTTCTCATTTATGTTTTTAAAATACTGTAAGCCATTTATCACGTCTGCATCTTCTGTTGGTAGAGAGACAATAGGATATCATGGGCAATATAATGAGCACCACTGCCAATTTCTCCTGCTTGTTTTCCTAATAAAGCTTCACTTTAATTAGCCACACGTTCTGCAGGCTGTATCACCTGCTCTAGCCACACTTCCAAAACTGGCTTGCTGCTGGCCTATCCCAGGCAAACTTCACAATTCAGTCCCTGTCCATCCATGCTGCAGTTGGTATGCATGCACATCTCTTGGAGATGAGTTTCTCTTGGAGGCAAGTCACCCCTAAGAGTGTTTGCTTTGGTACTCAGGAAGGGCGCTTTTTTCCCCTTCCTTGTTTTTTTCCTAGATAAAATTGTCAGACTTTGGATTCTGTGCCCAAGTGTCTAAGGAAGTCCCCAAGAGGAAATCGTTGGTTGGAACACCCTACTGGATGGCACCGGAGGTGATATCTCGCCTCCCTTACGGCACTGAAGTAAGTATAACAGGGAACCCAGAGTGGCTTTTCTCTCTTCTTGAAAAAGTGTGGGGTGCCTTAATTGAACCCACCTATCCCTAGCAGAAACGTACAGTTGAAATGCCTTTACATATACATGCTAAATAACAGCAATTACGTTTGCCATGGAGTATTATATCATGCCTTGTTTAAAGCATTCCTCCACAAAGTGTGGTTAAGTAACTGTTCTGAGCACTAGCCAATGGAGTCCCCTTGTATTTTAGCGTAAGGTGTTATATTAAAGGAAAATTGACGTTGTTTTCGCATTATTGAATACCCTTTGATAACCTTCAGACTGAGTCTACAAGCATGCTTTGCAGATACAGGCATGCACGCCTACATATGCCCGTTATGCATGGCCAGGTCCCATCAGCGAGCCGGCACGTCAAGCATTTGCTTGCAAGAGTGCCAGCTCACATCGGCCCCCTGAAGTCCAGCACGCACTGACTGGGCAAGGGCCAGTCCAGCTGTAGCTGTGGAGGGGGAGGTCATGCCAGGCTCTCTGGTGGGGAGTGCCAGGTGCTCGTGCGGCCCTCCAGGCAGAGATCCTCTGCTTACTTCCGACTAAGTCTACCTTTGGCCAAGACCGTCTTCCTCTAGCGGCTGGCCTGGAAAGGCACGGGCGTATAGCTTTAGGGAAAAACAGCCTCCCTAGGTGTCCCAAATGTAAGAGCAAGTCATGTGGGTTGGATTGCCCCCCACTGTGTAGCATTCATCTCTGCATCCTCTGATTCCTTTTGTTGTTGTTGTTGTTGTTGTTGTTGTTGTTGTTGTTGTTGTTTCTCAGCCAAGAGAGAAATCTCTTCATAGGGTTTTCTGAACTCAGGGTTGCCGAAATGAACTGGTGTGGGAAGACCAGCATGCCTGCTGTGATCTGTCCCTTAGCCAGCAACTGCACACTCTCCACTTGGAATTTCCAAGTCTTATTTTTTATTTTCCTTGAATGTTTGTATTTCAGTCTTTGGAAAGAAAACGTGCGTAGGTTCAGAGTGTGTGCAGTTGTGGGTTAGCTGTGACCACTCTCCGGGTGCCCTGCAGCTACTGTCTGACAAATTAGCATTCTTCCTCTGGGTATGCAGTGTAGTCAGCCTTTTAAAGCCACCGATGATCTGTCTTTCCCCCCAAAAAAGGTGTGTATTGAGGGTGGGGGATGGTTGCAAGAAACATGGAACTGGTTATGGAAATTCTTGTGATTTTAAAGCCTGCTTCAAGTCTAGGCTCATCAGTGCATCCGAGATATTTTAAGTGAGGTATTCTCAGAGATAATGTGTAATATTTATTTTCACAGATGGAATTTTGTGTAGAAATATTTAACAACTTCAGCAGGTTCCTACTGAAGCTGAAATTGTCTGTCACTGGGAGCAATGATGCGTAGCTTTGTCAGGTTACACACCACAAGGACATTGGTGAAAAGAGGCAGTAATTCATCCCAAACCGCAGTCAACTAACTCATTAGCTGAGTAATTGTTAAAAAAAAACACACACACACACACACTTATCTCTGAGAACTATTTTAAGCAGTGTCAAACTGTCTGAAAAAAAGAGGCAATTCACGCAGTTTATTATTGGAGACCTTCAGAGGAGATGAGAAAGGGCTCGCCTGTGGGGACCACGGGCTCCGGAGGGAGCGCTGTAGCCCAGCTGTTACTCAGCTCTGAGTCACAGCACTTCTGCACCACGGGCTTTCGGGGAAGCCAGCCCCTCTCTCGCTCCCTTAGTAATGGCCACGACTCGCTGTTCCTCAGCCCGAGACGTGGCTGCTGGCCTTCATCTGCTGTTCTCCGAGGTAATAGGAGTCATCTTTTACTTCGTGTCACCTGTAGTAACAGCTGCGGAGAGCAAATCTGCACTCTGTACAGCAAGGAAATGAGCCGTGCGGCGAGGCCCGCGAAGGAAGCTCTAACTTCACATCACGCAGCTGGGAGCAGGCTGGTCCAGAGCGGGTAGAGCACCAGACGCCCAGCGAGGCCACGGCAATTGCACCCTGCTGGCATTGACTTGGCCCAGTATATGTAGTATTATAGGAGATATTTCAGAGACGTCAATCCCAAGGTCCCCTTCCACTGAAGGGATTATAAAGTGGTTAAACTTACAGCTACAACGTTAACTTGTCTACCAGAAGGGAAAGAAAAACAATATATATATGTATATATATATTTAAGCAGGAGGATAGAGTTGTCATAAGAGCAAAATAGGTATGAACTGGCCTTGACTATATTTGGGCTGGCAAATTACAGGAATTGCAATCATCAGAAGAATAGGAAACTGGACTAGCTTTGCAGCAGGCCAGAACAAAAAAAAAAAAAAGATGGTGCTTTTTTTAGACAGAGCTGAATTGTTTTCCGAAGGGATTGTGTAATGTGGTTACCTATGATAGCTGGAAATGGATTCAGGTAGAGTACATGCTTGCATTTTGCCTTTGGGTCTCAAATGGCATCCCGGTAGTCTTTAATATTCAGTAGAAAGAGTAACCGATTTCACAGCAACTGAATTAAGCTTAACTCTTCCCCTAGCTGCACAATTCTGTAGCATTACAGAGCCCACATGAAGCAACTCTTCAGTGGGTGTAGATCCGTGTAGCTGAAATGAGATGCAGTAGGGATTAGTCAGTTTATCAAGCTAGCATAACCTAGCAGTGATTCCAGTGGACTACGGTCACTTAAACCAGCTGTGGATTTGATCTGTAAGTTGTTTCTAATTTATTTCTTGAATAAACTTACAACTCAGAAGCAAAAATTGTGATCACTTGGTTAAAAAAAAAAAGAAGACGAAGACGATAGTAGATGGTTTACCAGTCTGTTGGCTTTACACGGATGCAAACACCAAGTACAATGGCATAAGCTAGCTCTGAGGTTTACAGGAACCCAAACATTTAGCCCATCAGCCTCATTTCTGTACTACCAGCAGTGCTTATGAATGGATTGCATGTTACAGGTGGATATCTGGTCACTTGGTATCATGGTAATAGAGATGATAGACGGAGAACCTCCCTATTTCAACGAGCCACCGCTCCAGGCAATGCGCAGGATCCGGGATAACTTACCGCCCCGGGTGAAGGACATACACAAGGTTGGAGTTTTCATATGTGATATGGACCTTAATGTATTATGGTGTAGTAAATGCATAGCCAACAGTGCCGCAGGCTAAAGGATAAATTGCAGGTACCACTTTAGGTACCACTCAGAGCAGTGGGTGCTGCACAGGAGTTGTGCTGTGAGGAAGGGGGGCCTATGCCACCCGTAAGTGGTAGCCTTTTTGTGCCTGGTGCTGGCTTGTTGTTCCAGCCGGTGACCGAGAAGAGAGCTGGGCAGAGACCACTGTGCCCCACACTTGCCACCCTAGCTGAGGATTAGACCAAGTCATCAAGTGACCTCTACTTTGTATCAGTTGGTGCATCAACACTCGATACCGAAACGTTCGGTTACCTTCCATTTCAGTCATACTTCCGGATAATGTCAGAGCTGAGCCCTCAGTGGTAATGTAGAGTGCATTTCGGCTTTGCTCGCGTGCCACACACAAAGCTACTCCTACCTCGTGTCCTGGTCTACGTCCCACTGATACCCCAGTAGTTTTAACAGTAACGGCCTATAGGAGACGCGTGGCCCTTCAGATCAGTCCGCCTTATAGTTTTGTAAGGGCTCAGTGTGCGTTTTGCCTCACCAAGAAAAGTAGTTTGCAAAGAGCAGCATAGGAGGGAAATGAGTGTCTCTGCTCCTAATGCCCATACCATGTTGCAGGTCTCCTCGGTCCTCCGGGGCTTCTTAGACTTGATGCTGGTGCGGGAGCCCTCGCAGAGAGCCACGGCGCAGGAACTGCTGAGACACCCCTTTCTGAAGCTGGCAGGGCCGCCTTCGTGTATCGTGCCCCTCATGCGGCAGCACAGGCACCGCTGACCTCGGCCAGTTTGCAGGAGGAGGCCGGTACAGAGGCCAGGTGAAGCCTGGCAGGAATCCTACAGGGTTTTTTGGAAATCGAGGAAGGGGCAGCCGAAACCTCGCAAAGGAAAAAACAGCTCTGTGAAAATAATGCAGTGTACGAAAAAAAAATCCCGAGGTGCTCTCTGGAGCTGTGAAGGACTGGGGAACTCTCTTTGCCTCTGATGGGACAGCCATGCAGTGACGCTAAGCGCTGTCCCGTGGAAGGACTCTTCCATGGGCAGTCATCTGCTTGGCTTTCCGCTGTCAAAGCAGAAGGATGCAAATGCCAACGTGGTTGAAAAGGTAACAGAGCATAGCACAACCAGAAGGAAACACCAGAGTTTTGTTGCAAAAGTAAAGGATATGGCACTTCTATTTCAGAAGAACACTTTTCTGGCATAAAGCACTTTTTAATCTCAGTCATAGCAGTGTAATGTATTTTGAAATGAATTTGTAATTTTCTGTACAGTACTTTTTGATAATTTGCAGTACTTTGTCATGTAACCATCGTGCTAGTTGAAGTAATAAGTGTAACTTAGCAAGAGTTTGGGAAAAATTAACTTTCCTACTTTTTTTAACCCTTTTGAAAATGGGGAAAGAAAAAAAAAAAAACCTCTAGGAACCTAGAATGTTTGGCAGATTTTCCATCGGGTTCAGTAGAGTACACGTCTTACCTTTACAGCAGTTTGAAGAGCAAGGGGAACTAACAATACTAACGCAGTAATGATTTTCTGATCAGAGCGCTGACAGTATTGTTTTGAAACGTTGCTCGGCATTACTAAATCTGAGGGAATTCTAGTTACGCAGTGGAAATCAGTACTTCTGTTGAATGTCATAAGTTGTTTGGTTCTCTTTCATTTCGTTATTTCTAGAGCTGAGTGAGCTAACACATCAAACGTACCTTTGTTCAAGGGTCATCTTCTAATGACATGGAGGGGGCTTCATTTTGTGCTGTACCATCCTTGCTGTCACAAGGTCAAGCGTGTTACCACAAAGTCTCCATTATTTATATCACACTTTGAAAGTCGAGATGGACTACAGAAGTCTCATTCCCAAGCATGTATTCTCCAGATTTCAAACAGACTGCTGTAATATGTTATGAGATGTTTGCCATATAGAAAAAGTTGTGCTGCTGTCTAGACCTTTCTGAATGTTGATACAACAGTTGACTACTATGATGATACATTTTTGTGTTACTTGTTGGATGAACTTGCATGTTAACTGTAGGCCTGAATAGATTTGCCTTTGCAATTTTTAGAAGTGCTTCAGAATTATTTCGATGATAAATGAATTTTATTTATTAATGATTAGTTATTTTTAATTATGTATAATACAAAAGCCATGTTTCTCCAGTTTTTTTTCTTACTGACCTCATTTTACAATATCATTATGAAATGCAAACCCAATTTTGTGAAAACACAATTAGCTTGTTTCTTATTATGGAATTTGAGAGTGACTAAATTAATTGTTATTTATTGTTGTAAATTATAACTGAACATGTAAAGCTGACATGAGCTGTTTCTTAATGATCTTCCTCCTGGACAAAAGATTTGTCATTATAGTAAAGAGCTCCTTTAGTACTGCCCCTAAAACAGTTAAGCATTTTAAGGGAGAGGGAGAATTAAAAAATTGCAAAAGGGGAGATAAAACCAAATAAGAGTTCGAACCCTGAATAAACGTCCTTAAATATGCATATCCTACTCCCTGCTCTTTTCTCCTCTTAACCTTTTTTTGCACATTTTAACTTTGCATCGGTGCCCTCTCCCGTGAAGTGGTCCATGCAACGTAATGGTCTTTGAAGTTGGAAGGAGCCAACGCCACTAGGTACCCCCAGGATTTTGGCTCACAGGGTGAGGCCCGGCGTCACTGCACATGCGCGGGACCACCGTCGTGCCTGGCCCCGTCCGCCGGAGCAACCCTTTCCCCCAGGTGGCCACGGTGCCCGCTTGCCCGTGACGGGTTGTCCCCACTGGCGAAGACATGGTTCATTCATTCCCTGCAATTCCTGCAGACACATTGTCCTGGTACAGACCCACAGAAACCTTGTAGAGGAAACTAAGGTAGCTACAGGATTTTAAAACTTGTTTGTATTTTGTCGTCTTGGCAACTCAGGAAAAAGGCTGCACCAATAAAGACAATGACCTACAAGTAGAACCATAGTATTAGCCACAAAATTGAACTTTTTTTAACAATCTTTGAATAAAAAAAGGGGGTTGGGTTCTTTGGATTTTTTTAATATTCAGCACATTTTAAACAGTACAAGTGGAGAATTTTCTGCAACTTTCTTACCATTCAATATTTTAAACAGTATTCATCAAGTTTACTGAAAGTTTTGTCAGCTTAAACGTTTTTTTCTTTTCTGAGCACCAACTACTGGTGAAAAAAAAATGCACACGCAAATTAAAATAAATAAATGTTTTCATTTTCAGTGTGGTTTTCTGTGCCTTGTTTGTATTTTCTAAATTTTATTCAGTTACACAGTACTTGACCAAACACACAACAAAAAGAGGTTCCTGGAAATCTATTTATATAGCTGCCACTAGCAATTTTTACTCAAAAGCAGAGGCTTGGACGTGGTCCCCTGGTGCTCACTGCAGCTGTGTCCTGCCTCCCTGGGCAGGCAGTTGTTGGGCAAGCCCAGCCTGAGTGAAATGCAGAGATTTATCTCTGGTCGCAGGGTTAGGAAAAGCCACTGGATCACAGCTAAGAGCCGTGCCTACCCATCAGCCACGGGAAGGTAATGGTCAGGAGTCAGTGGCTGTCTGATTGGCAAAAAAGAGGCTGTTTTGTGCTCTGTTAATTGTATTTATTAAACAGCTTAAGATATTTGAAGAGCAAAACGATGCTTTCTAGCTATAAGTTTCCAAAGTAAGAAGGAGGGTATAAGAAACCACAAACAACTATATTACTGTCGATAAATTATTCTCGTGGTTGATGTCACTGTCGTTGCCTGAATGCTGATGGTGCATTAAGAGTCATGAGTAAGAAGACTATTAAGAGTCTGACTGTGCCCCTTCCTGCAGTTAAGAACAGCAGAACTAGTAATTCTTCTAAGTGTGGGCCAGGCTCAACAAACAAGAAACAAGAGGTTAGGAGAAGCATAAAGCTTGTGCAGGAATCCCTATATGACTGGAAAAAAATGATTTGCATTAAGGAGGGAAGTGCAAAGGCTTAGGGTGTGCGGAAGTGGGGTGGAGCACAGCCATGCAGCCTTTTACACGAAAAGAGCCAGTACAGGTGGGCTGCAAAGTATCTGCGGCATCCCATGCTAATGAAAAAAAAAAAAAATCAAAGAGGTGAAAATGGAGATGAGTGGGAAGAACCCATTTATGAATATGATTTAAAATACTAATGAGCTAAATACACTGAATATGTCACCCAAAAAGGAAAACAAGGGGGAAAACCAGCGTGAAACAAGCATGCAATTATATACCACTACAGTGGTAAATATTACCAGGGTGAGGCACAGAAGCTGGGACTACCTTACAGCATTGCATGTGAAGCACGCCAGAAAGACGAGCTCCTTTGAAACACATGCACATATTTCCCTAACCCCTCCCCACCCCCTGCAATGAATAAACTCCCCCGTTTTTTTTTTTGCCTCTGTCTTTACTTTTTTTCTCGTTCAGCTGGCGAGCCTACTGAAAATGTCACTGTCTCCCCAATAGCAACACCAGGTAGCTAACGCAGCTACAATGCTATTTGCTCTCTCAAGTATATTCAAGACCTGGAAGTGAGCTTTCGTATTAGAAATTTGCTCCCCCCATCAGAACATGTCTCAAAATGCATTGGCCATCCCTCAAAAAAAAACCCCACACACTCACAAATGTGCTCAGCTGTGAATGTGTCACCCACAGCGCTTCAAACTAAAGCCAGCCCATAACCAAAAAAGCAGAGCGTAACCATGTCAAACCTCCTGGGCCTCGGCTGACAGGCTGAGCCCTGCTCACCACCTTCGGCGCAAATTTGTCCATTTGCAGCTTCCTCCGCGCTGAGCTCCGTGGTTGCCGCCCCGTCCCGGTCACACACGACGTTGCCAGCAGCCGTTCACCCCCAAGACTTGGCCATCTGCTGCCCTGGCTGAAGCCCAGCTCCACATATGTCCAACTGCCCAATTGCACTTATTCCCGCCTGCCACTAAGAAACTACAGATTTTTCTGCAGACATCAGATCTTAAAGTATTAACAAATGCTCACAAATGTTATAGCAGAACCCAGGGCATGCAGTGATTACAATCCCCCAATTTCAATTTTCTTTCAACATTTTTAAATAACTTTTTTTTTTCAACGAGCTATGTCAGTCTGGGGCACAATGCACGCTGCAGTTAGTTAAACTGAAATTAGTTAGTTAAACTGAAATTATTGTGTCCATTTCCACCCTTCCGCTCCAGAAAACTGAAAAATCATTTCTGGTCAACAAGAAATTATTTTTTTATCTTAATTCAGAAAATAAAAAAAAAATTAATTGCTGTATTGATCCAAGTCTGTTCCTGATAGCGTCCAGAGGCTTTCAACCTGAAGGCGGATGCTGAGCACCAACTAAGGAAAATATGTGTCTCACAGGAAAAGCAGCAGTGGGTCTTAAGAATAATATGCTAGCCCATTTTTTTCTGGAGGATTTGTAACACACCATCATGGCACACTGAACACAAGGTTGTGGGTTTTTTCTTTTTTTTTTCCCTGCCCTAAGTCAGCTTTGACTTTTCAATGAATTTAAAAAAATGTGAAAATCAAAACTTTTCAGCTAGAAAATTTCTATGACACTTTGTGTTTTAAAAAGCAAGTTCTCCATTCAGAAAAGTTGCTGCAGTACCACACATGCCAAAACTCAGGAAGCAGTGGGATTGTTCGGCGTTCAAGTGCGGTTTCTTAGCAATGAACGGCGAAGATCAAGATTTCCTTGGGAGGCTCTGCGATGACTGTACTTCAAGTTTCACTACAGACTGAATGAACGTAAGTTTTCAAAGCCAAGCTCAAGTGAGAGTTTTTCGGTCTCAAATGCATTTTTGGAGAAAGAATCCCACTGAGGCAACAGGATGGTCTCACTCACGTCCTGCAAACAGGCACACGACATGACCTGAAAGGGCCCACCGCCTACCAGCAGCTTCCTTGCACAAGACACAGCAAACCCCAGCTCCTCGGAAAACTGGCCTTGAGATGAGCTTCACGCAGCAGCTCTATGTCCACCAGCCTCTGTGTCTCCTTCACACGGAGCCAGGTAAGCCCTGAGCTGGCATTTCCAGGGGAGGCTAAGAAAGATTAATTGCAGCCTGTCAGATGCTGCATGGTTGCAGACTGGTGGGTTTTCCCCCTTCCACTGCAGTTTGGATAAGGAGCCGTCAAAGTGGCTAAAGTCTTTGTCAGCCGCTCGTCAGCTATTGATCACCCTTCCTGCTGCCGAACCAGCTCTGCCAAAGCAGTGTAATCACGGCAGGTTGGAAGGAACCGCAGTGCAGACTGGATTCCCACCAGCAGCTACTCGGAGGACCCTTTTTACGTCACCGGTTTAGAGTTTAACACGTAAACTGATATGGAATTAACCCAAGTTTTGCAAGGCAAAAAAAAAAAGTGAAGGATGGGTCCTGGTGAACGTGAGAAGAGAGCAGAAAAAAAACCACTAACGGACTCTCCTAGAGAAATAGATATCACAGAGGAAAAACAGGACCTTCCTCCTCACTTCCCGTCACTAAACCCTTCTATTCCCCCGTTTTTCACAGCCAATATCCGTACTCTTTAGTTCTTTCATGGCTGTGGTAAGAAACAGTGGTCTGGTTGCACAGGGCTGATTATACTCAACCAAATTTGCAGAAATTGTTCCTCGTGACTCCGAAGGCTTTTGGCTCCTCAGGAGGAAGCAGCTGCCTGGAGGCCACGACCTCACTGACTGGGACGTCCCATTTCTTGCTGTCTGCCATCCTGCTGCCCGCGTTTTCGGCCTGCCGCGGCTCGCACACAACCACACGCGTGCGCTGCTTTTGAGCTGCGACGCAGCGCTGGCATCCCAGGCGGCGGCGGTGGTGGTGAGCGCTGCAGAGGGACCTGCCGGCAATGGGAAGCACGGTCCGTGGTGAGTGCAGCATCAGCTGTCCCCAGCAGGAAGGGCGCCGAAAGCCATCTCACCAAAAGGCGCCATTAAGACAAATGACAACAGAAGGGCTCATTTGGCATCTGCAGTTTGTCTATTTGCTTCCTCCTTTTCTTTTTTTTTTAAAGCTTGGACGTCAAATAACGGAGCAGATGCTCGCTCGCAGCCTGCCGGGAGCTAGCTCCAGGGCAGCCTTTCTGCGGGAAGGCGGACAAGAGCAAGGCAGCACGAAGCTGATGAGCCGGCCTCACTGAGCCTGTGATCTCCGCCCTTACAGATGCACCCTTTCAGCCGTTTATTGCCTCCCCTGCTACCTACGGCATTTGCAGCCTGCCCTGTCTCAGCCATGCAAGCCCTAGAAAGAAAGACGGGTCCTGCAGCCCCTTGTTGGGAAAGACGAGGGGAGAAGGAGCTCAGTGCTGCTACCAGGGCAGGACACACAGAAAATGCAGCCACACGCACGCAGGCTTTGCCCGGGTCTCCACTGCACCGGCTCCAGGCCCCTGTCTGCCTGGTTCCCGCTCTGGCAGAGGAGCGATCCTGCTCTACACTTAACAAGCAGCAACACGCACCAGTCTGCCCTCGGCAACGTATGCATACGTGCCACCAGATTTAGGCTGGTCTGTCGCTGCCAGGTCAACACTGCCAAGCCAACTACCTCTTTGCAGCTGCAAGCAGACCTTGGCACTGCCCGGCAAGCAGGTCTGATGGTGCCATCACAGGTCACTCTTCCAAGGTCCCTTTGCGTCAACAAAGCAAAACAGTGCCTTGTAGGGCACCTCTCATCCAGCCTAGCTTAGCTGCCTGTATTAGGTTTGCCCTGAAAAAATACCTGTTTGTTTGTTTCTTTTTCCACTAATAGTCTGCTGCAGGCAGTGACGCTTGCTCAGCTAAAGCCCCTCCAGAACACCTGCACTTGTGAGTGTTACGAGTAATGGACCAAGCCACGAGCACTGTTAGTGCCGCAACTTTGTTTCTTATATCCAAGAGAAAAATAAAAGAGGGCTTTTGACGTCGATCAGATACCACGAATAAGGCCTGACTAAGGTAGGATGCCTGCTACATCCACCTTCCTTTTCCCCTTCAACAAACAAAAACTTATGGAAGAGACTGCAGTACTAAGAAGCAGTTCATGTCTCCCCTCCCAACGCCCAGCTTTGCGCTATTCTCTGCTTACTGGCCTCCCTGACACGCTACAGCCTGTTTCTCCAGTCGTCACTTGCCTTTCCTGGCACCTGGCCAGAACTTGGTGAGCTTTGTCATATTGACCGTGTTGGCCACACATTAGCCACGTTGCTTATTGGTCCAGCGCCCTCTTTTTTCATTACTTTTACAATACATCATTCTTCAGTTTTCACTTGGAACAAAAGCAGGTAAGAGAAAGGGATTTGGGGGGAGACTGCTTCAGGGTTTTATTTCTGGGTTGTTGGTTTTTTTTTTCCATAAGCCTTCAAACCATCGTCTCTGATGCCATGAACCTTGATGAAAATCATCTACTGTCCTGAAAAGACAACCTGGGCTGCCAAAGGGGGTGCCTTTTAGGAGTCCTCCCATTTCGATCCAGTCAACAAAAGAGAAAAGTCTGGTTTACACTGATGCTATGATTGCATGTTCGGCAGGTAGTCCCTCAACCTGTCAAATTAGCATCGTACGTTCCCAAATGCCAACAGATCTCACTTACTGCAGGGCTAGGTTGTACTCGCAGAGCGCTTTTTACCTTGCCAAGTGACCCTCTGCATCCATGGCTGGCACTACTGAAATCCAGGTGTAAGTCAATATAGCCAAGAGCAACAGTCGCTCCTTCACTTTAGCGTAAGGGTATTTCATCAATGTAGTCTACATCTGCTTTAAGGTATTGGCTACATTGCCACGTAGCTGAAAATCAGACCCTAAATTACACCCCTTTTCAGTAAATATGTGCAAGCACAGATAATTGTTTCAATGTTTAAATTAATATTTTTTTGGCTGACTACCCTATTTTAATCTGGAGGGGGACAGTTTGTACAAGTCACTAGTTGGATCAAATCAGTACAAGAAAAACATGGTATATGCCATACCCTAACTTAATACGAGGTCTGGACGAACTCTTGCTGAAGTAACTCTGAAGCCAGGGGAAGTCAGCAGTTTCAGTGGAAACTGGATGGGACCCTAGCAAAATATGCCATTTCCCACAAAACACATTAAGAAAGAAACAGTTAAAATATTAGAAGAATATTAGAAATATAGCCTACAAATCACAGAATACTTAGCCTCCATTATGTCTTCTCTAAATCATTTGCATCAAAAATATTGCTAGAATAAAACCTACATTTAACATCCAACCCGACTATGTACTCTTACACCAACTCCCATTAGATATCACAGACCTCTCTGTTCTTGGGATCAGTAAAAAAAGATGATGTCATTTCAAAATGAGAAGGCAAATCAAGTATTAGACATGTACATATTTTAATTCATTTTAAAAATGGTCTACAGAGAAGGATAGATCTCAAGGGTTGCCTTATATTTTTTTCTGTCACATTAGATTATACCTGAATAGTCTGCATAGTGACTTTAACATTTCTGTTTTCTTTTTTTGCCTTGTTGTGAAAATAACAGTTGCAGGTAGCAATGTAACATCTCAAAGACAATCACAATACGTGCAGGATGTCCAGCCAGAAGCATTTCTCAGTTGACTTGCAGCAGCATGGCACTCTGTAACTTGTGCATCAACACTTTTTTTTTTTTTTTAATGTTTAATTCAGATGTGTCTCAAGAAGCAAAAACAAACTTTCTTCACCGAGCCTCAAGTATCTGGTCAGTTCCTCAGCTGGCTGCAAGCTGCTTGCCTAGAGTTACTCCAGTTTATGCCAGCTTGAGGACCTGGCCTGTACTTTTTCCAAAACACACCTTTGTCTCCTTCATGCTTTCCTCGGCGTGAGTGCAAATTTCAGGAATGTGGTTCAGGTCTGCTAGTTGGGGGACCCTGAAGGAGTCTGTGCAATGGAGCCTCCTCTCCATGCAGGTGGGGGAGCAGAGAGGGCTGAACACGTGCCAAGAGCAAAATACTGGGAGTAAGACTCCCTGGAGGCAATGCAAGGAAAAGCTAACTTTGCCCCCAGTGTTTTGACATGTGAAGTGTTTCCGTTTCCATATGACCGGCCCAGTTGATCTAAGAAGGTATTCATACCACCCACTTTCATAGGCAATAGCCAGACCCCAGACTCCAGAAATTAGACGCTCCAAGTCACCTTGCGGAGACAGCTGTGTCTCTCCCCTGACTGTATTGGAGCCCAGTCGTAACTGGGTATGTCCACGAAATACGGTTAGGTGTTGTGAATACCGTCTCTTGTTCCAATTGCGTCTCCTCACCCACAGAAAAAAATGCTTTTGCTTTATCTACCTGAAAAGTATTTGGGCTGCTCGATCCTGTCATCTATCCCATGTGTTTGTACTGAGATCTGTCTCGAGGAATTTGTACTTGATTGGCTGTCAGTTTGTGGTGGATATGGTAAACGCAGAGGGTTATCACAATAACCAACCCCAGTATCAGACCCAAAATCAGAGGCAGGGTTTCTTCTAACTGCTCCCGCTGGTCCACTGGGCATTTATGCTCTGCAGTTAGAGAAAGAAAAGGACATAGAAAGGGAGAGAGACAGACGTGAACGATAAGACGTTTAAAACGTTAACTCCTGCCGCAGTACGAAACAGCCTTCCCGACGAGACAACCCGCAACGAATCACAGCCCCGCACCAGGGGTCCCCGCGGAGCAAAATCTGCCTCCGCAGCCACAAGGCAAAGCAGCTGTCTGGGGAGTCCCCGGGAGAAATTTAGCTGCTTTGAAGGAAACTGAAATCACGGTCCCAAAGCCAGGTTGGTAGGGGCAGGTGATACCTGTTACCAAGCCAGCTGCTGCCCTGGAAGGAAGCACCTCCAGGCCCACGAGCACTTCTTCAGGCCTGATCTGCCACCCTGACACGACTGTGACCGCGCCGAGGTCGGGACAGCCAAAGTGCAAGCTTCCTTCCTGACCGTGGCTAGAGATCTGCCCTGTTTATTGAGCTACAGTGGCTAGAAATGTGGTAAGGTGAGGCCTCAGCGTCAGTAGTTTGTAATTCCACAGCAGAGCAACCCTGTTTGCCATTAAAATATATTTTTCCCTCCTCTATCTGCAAGGTGACTGAGGTCTAACAGTGCTTTCCCCACCTCTCCACCAAACCTTCAACAGAAGATTCAACTTTGACTCTGCACCAGTTTACTCCTGCTGATGTGTCTGTCCTAGGGCCTGACTCCGGACAAAGCCTGCACGATTTCACTGACACTGACAGTGGCTGAAAAAGGCAGGTCCTCCGGGGCTCAGACCCTCCATGGCCACATGCTTTCAGCCATAACTTCCCAAGAAGACAAGCCAAAATAACGTATGTCATGCCTGCACGTCAGGCAAGAAACAAAGCTTTCAGCTCAATGCCGTAGGCGGTCTGTAAGTGCCTCGGGGGCCGGCTCGTCTCCCTGGGGCGACCGTGCCGTGCTTCGCGGTAGGGCAACGGGAACCCCCAGCCAGCGCTGCTGTAGAAAATAACAACGGCTACGAAGGGAAAATACTTTGATTGCTATTTAGCTTGCAAAGGCAAAGCCACCAAAGTCAGAAAATACAAGAAAGCAAGTTACTCGGGTAATTCCAATTTGGCTCCCTTTCGCGTACACCTTCTACTACGGGCATTAATGACACGATCACGTTTTGCTTTTTTCCCACAGGAGTCTTGCTCGTCCATGACTGAGGACAGCAGAGCTGACGGTGCCAAGATGGGGCAGAAAGAAGAAGAATGCTAGCCCTGAAAAAAAGGTTATGGGATAAAGGAGGGACAGTGCCCTGGA